TTCCTATCTCTACCCTGCGTTTAATTATGCATCAGATTAGAGGGCTGTGTGTGTCTGTAATACAATTACTGCAGCATGACAGTGTGTTATCTTCCGTAGTGAAACTGAAGTCATTTTGATAGCACCACACTGATGTGTCTCTGTGTAATATAGAAGGGAGTTTCCTTTCCAGTTACTTTTGGGACCGTGAAACTTCCGAGATACAGTAAGAATGTATTTGCCATTGATGTATTCAGCTTTTGCCTTAGTGGACCTTAATCAGTCAGCATGTAAATGAGGCTGTGAGGAATAGTAGATCAGTCCTTTCAGTGGATTGCACTTTTAGTCAGTGTGAAACTTTGTGCAGTTTTTATATTTACGTATTTAGCAGACACTTCTATCTAAAGGTCTAAAGGTAATGCATTCCCTGGGAATCGAACCCATGACTTTGGTGTTACTAGTACAGGAATTCACAACTTATTTTACTTTACAAAACTGGTTTACTTTTACTCTGATAACAAATAGATTGCAATTGGATTGATGCTGTATTAGCACTTTGAAGACCTGGTGCTCATCTTTTGCTACTACTTGAAGTAGTTTTTTCAATGCAGTGCATTATCTTGTATGTTTTATGTATGAAGCATAAATGTAGGCTGTGAACGTAAACATAAATATCATGAGGAAGGCTCTAGAGTTTAAAGCTTTCATTTTAATGCTAAACCAGCTCATACAGACAGTAGTCATACATTTTTCTAGTGTGGGTGTGATTTAGATATTCTGAAGCCCTGAATTATCCTCACTTTATGGCTGTTTTTCGAGATAAGCAGAAATGGAGAACTGAAAGGAGGATCATCAACATGTATATTATATATTTTTTGCTAAATATAACATATATATGTTATATTTAGCTATATTGTCCTGCCATACTCTCTACCATGTGCTCTCCCCTAGGGATGTAACGGTATGAAAATTTCTTATCACGATTATAGTGACCAAAATTATCACGGTTATCAGTATTATCACGGTATTGTTCAAATGTGCTGGAGATGTTAAAAAAGTACCGACACATAAATCACTTCACCAAGTTTTATATTTAAAAATAAAAAAACAACAAATAAAATGACTTTTTGTTTGCATAATCACTAAAACAATAACATTACCAATGATGTTCGGATTTTAAATGACAACTTGACTGACAACAGTTTAATAGCATGTTGAAATATCTAATGTAAATGTTCAAATAAAGCTTTGAAAAAGTTTAATAAAAAGGTAAACCTCACATTTCAGCCTTTAAATTAAGAAAATACATAAGTCAAAATTATAATTGATTAATAAATGATTATATGTATTTTATCTGCTCCATAAATAATTCTAGATAACTTATCTGAATTGTTTAAATGTGTAGAATCCACATAAGCTTGTTTTTCATCAACCGGTCAAAATTTACAGCAGGGCATGCAAA